GTCTAACAAAATCCTATTCCCCACATTTCACCATAAAAGCTTTAAAACAGTTTAAATTGAGATAGGTCCTACACATATATTAATCCTGAAAATTTAAATTAATCCGGTTACGAGATGCACATTTATTATTTCATTTAAAAAATTTTTTAAAACAAAAATTGTTTAATTTAAAATTATTAATTGATTATATAGTTCAGCCTGTATGACAGCTGAAAATCTAAAAAAAAATTTAATGTTGTATTTGACAGTTATGCGTTTGACGCATATAAAAATTTTGCGGTAATAACCTTTTTTTTTGACCTCGGTCCTTTGCTGAAAATTATTGATGAGTTCAACTCAATAATATTTGAAAATATAAAAATTGAAAGATCATATAGTTCTGAATACAGTGTTGTATTTCTACTTTTTCAGAACTTTTTTTGTGCTGTTGTAAATAAGTACATAATATAATCTTGAATTTTCTTTTTTGGTTGTTTTTTTTTAATTATCTGTAATAAACAAGAATTTATTGTATTTTTAAATAAAATATGTTAAAAAAATAATGGATTAAATAAATTTCAAGTTTTGTTTGTTTGAAAGAGTCAAATTGAACAAATAACTGTTTACTTTAGTCAATGTCTTGTGAAAAATCAGACTTTCAATGAGCCTTATTTCCAATTTGCTCATTGGCCCCAAACAAGTATAAGAACGAGACCATGCACTAACTTATTTGTTGCTAAGGACGGTCTCTTTTCTTTCATCTATATCTTTTTTCTCTTTTTCAATTTCTTTGTTGGAAATTTCCAACAATGCAATTGAAAAAGAGAAAAAGACATAGATGAAAGAAAAGAAACCGTCCTTAGCAACAAATAAATTAGTGCATGGTCCCTTTCTTATGCTTGTTGGGGACCAACAATCAAATTAGGAATAAGGCTCATTGATATTTATAACATATGTAAGGAATTGTTTTGATTTACTTTATTTCATAGATTTAATACAATTCATATACTAACGCCATCTGTAATATGTTCTATTTTTTTTGACATAATGTATGACTAATAATAATTTTAACCAATCGATATATTAAGAGTCTATCAATACGGGTTATACATCATTGACCTTGTTTTTTGTAAATTAAGAATTTTAAAACATGTTTTAGAGTAATTCAATCATTATGTTAATGATGTCATTTATTCAATTATTTTCTTTGTTTACTTTCTTAAATTCCATATTAAGTTTGTTTTATGAAATTGATTTATTTTTTTTACTAAAATTTCATTTCATTTTTTTTTGTTCTCTAGTAATCAATGGTCTTACTTCAGTTGATATTTATAATCCATGTAAACGACAACCTGCTTTAGGTATTGAATCTGGTACTATACCAAATACGGCCTTTTTTGCTTCGTCGTTTGTCGAAGGTCGTGAACCGTATACTGCTCGACTTAATGCTCGTTTTGGTTTGTTTCTTGTTTTTTTTCTTTATTATATTTCATTTGTTTTTAATTAAAAGCTTGGAGACCTGCTTATATGGAAGCTGATCAATATTTATTTATTGATCTTGGTGCTCGATATTATGTAACTGGTGTATCAACACAAGGACGTCGTGCAGCTAAAGAATATGTTACAATATATAATATAATGTATTCAGATAATGGTCATAATTGGTTTTATTATACAAATGAAGATAAAATAATTGTGGTTTGTATAATTTAATAAAAGATAGACTCTTGTTTTTTTGTTTCTGAAGGAAAAAAAAACGGAATTTCTTATTTTAGAATTTTATTGGCAATAAAAATGATAATGGAATCGTACGACATAATTTTTCTGATCCTTTTATTGCACGTTTTGTACGTTTTAATCCAAGACAATGGAATAATTTTATATCAATGCGTGTTGAAATTTATGGATGTCCATTTAGTATGAATTGATTCGTTGTTTTTTTTTTCTTTCAATAATAAAACTTAATTTAAATGTTTATTTAGCTACATCATCATTTACATTTGATGGACAAACAATTTCTTATTATGATGCAAC